GAACCTTGACCATCTCCTACCAAATCCCTCTAGGCACTTCCCGTCATCAGATCGAACGACTCTCGCGTTCTCTCCTTAAGAGTGTTGAGCTCCCAACAACATGTTCGCTAGCTTGGTGTAGTTGGCAATGCGTGTGCTAGGGACGGTTATTGTACCGAGCATTGCCGAAATGTTCAGCACGCTTCCCGAAAAAAGCTCCCCTCCTGCAGGAGTGCTTTTTCAGCAATCAAAAGCACAACTCGCAGGGTCCAAGTGTTTGGAGGACTTTGGCAAGCCTTTTACGATGGGGTCTGCCCCATCAAAACTCCCAAGGGAAAAAATTGTTGTATAAATACAACAAATCTTGGAACAACGGCTTAATCTCAGCAGATCGTAGCAACAAGGCTACCCGCGATTGTTTAGGTGCTTTCGAAGCAATTCAACTCAACAAGGAGTTTACGACGTGTTTTGACGTGTATTCCGCAGACTTGAAAGTGTTTAAGAATCTTTTCTCACGCTCAATGTCTCCCCAGTTGCCAGCTCAAGTTTTCACTTGTCTTGAAATTTTGCTGACTTGCCCCAGTTTGGCGATTCGACCATCCTTCAAGCGAGATCCAACCTGGATTCATCATATAAATATCATATTACAAATATCCTACTAGTGTAAATGGCCTCACCCTCCACCACCACCCCCTCATCAAACTTGCTCGAGCTTGATACCCCAACAACAGATCCTGAACTTGCAGACACCAGTCGACGCCTCACGGATTTGCTTAAATCAACTGCATATCTGGTCCCCAGCCTACTACGGACAGCTGCCGCTGTAGACATCCAACCAATGACCAACATCAAAACCAGATCATTGGATGAAGCTCTTGATGGCGAAATCAATACTCCTGCTGTTGCTGCAAAAAGTGGAGCTTCTCTCGATTTCGGCAAGCTTAATACGCCATTCATATATCAGAAATGATCGCTGTGCTGGAAAAGCTGCACGTTTTGAAACAGATCACTGACATCTCATCCGTCAAACTCGTTGTAGAAACGCCTCTTGCATTGATATCACAAGCCATTATTCAGCTCTTTGTCACCTTCGCAGTTCTACTCAAACAGAGTCCAATACCTGATGGTGAGTGTCTTGTTTTAAAAGTTTCCATTTACTGATCAGCTTCCACGAATAGCCATTGTCTCGTTGACTGAGTCATCAGCAAATGCTTGGGTATCACTAGACAAGGAATTCGACCTGACCAAGAAAGTCGTTGTATTGGGTGAAGCCTTCATCAAGATTCAAATCTTTTTGGCATCTGTCTTCTTGACAGCTCTTGTTCGAAGTCTGGTTGCCTTTCAAAAAGTAGGCTAATCACTGTTGTTGAAGTTTCTCTGTCATACAAGTCATTCTTACTTAAACTCTCACACCATGAACTAGACGAGGGGTTATCAAGAGCTCATGCAGGATAGAGCAGCAAAGAATCAACAGCAACAACAGCCCTCATCTTCTTCGTTATCTGGTGGTAGCAGCAGCACCAATTTACCGTCTCTCATCCCGTCACCAACCACACAAACCATTCCCAAACCCACCTTCAACGACTCGGATATAGTAACGCTATCAATAGGCGGTGTACAGTTTGCTTCTACTTGGGGAACTCTTGCTGATGGGGGAAATGTATTTACAAAATTGAGTAGAGGTGAATCAGTCAAGGGGATCCTTTGGCGGGATGGTCTCTTCTTTGTTGATCGTGACGGAACCCAGTTTCGATATATCTTGAACTATCTACGTGGTATGTTGCTTCGAAGGTTGGATCATATATCAATTTGAGCCCATGAGAGGCATGCGCCGAACTGACGGCTGCATCGTTCGATTACGACTGACACTGCTACTTTTTTTTCTTAGGCATCGACACACTATCTCAACTCGAAGATCCACAAATCCTCAAAGAATTACTCGTTGAATGTGACTTCTATCACATGCCAGGCATGAAACACGCAATTGAAATGATGCTGGGAATAGAACCTTCCATCTCCCCACCATACAATGTATCACCTACACGATCATTGTCGTCAAACTCATTGAGGCAACGTGCAATGGCAAAAGTCAAGTCCGTCATGCCTGGTCCAATATCTGGTCTCATGTAAATGAAAAATGATCTCCGTCTTGTCATATATGTTACAGCATTTGTCGATTGTCTCTGCATAGTATTTAGTTTGTAAAGCACATAGCATAGAAACCCCCAAAATCATAAACCACTCGATTGATTCAATTGAAATCTAACCGGTTGAAATGCGATTACGACGAATTAGATTGACCTATCATCATTTCCACAGGTTTAGAAATGGAAACATGTAAAACAACCCTATGGAGACAAATCCCAATGTCAAAACTGAGCAGCAAAAAGTTTTTTTGGACATGGGAAGTTTCGATCTCCCAACCTTACGCTGAATGTGTTTTACTAGGTCAAGACCTCTTAAAGCGAAATTCATTTGTAGATGATTTTAGCGTACGCTCTTCCAGCTGAGCTACATGCCCGGATAGAATAAGCTTTTCACGAGTGATATAATATACGGATTGCTCACCAGAAATTTGTCTTGAGAGCGACGTGGGTGTTGAACAATTGAACAAGCGAAAAAGGGTGAGTTTGCGATGGAGAGGGGGACCAGCACGACCATTCTTGCTAATAAATGAATTTTGAAGTCTTGTATACTGAGGCATCTTAAAATACTCCTGTTCTTGAATCAATATGCTGACGAAAAGTCTTGTTGCGTCACTAACCATTTTTTACAAGGAAGCGATAAACGAGCTTTTACAAGTACAAAGGGAACTTCAAGCTCCAGCACGTCAAAATTTGGGTCTCGACACACGCCATCGCCGTGCCAGCTCTATTCATGTCGTCAAACGAAAAAACAGGTGCTTGGTGAAGTTAATTGGATTGCTACAACAATCCACATGATTCAACTGCTGAAGTCGACAAAAGGGATCGTATTGAACGTGTTGCCAGTACCACCGTTCACATGTTCCTACATCTGCACCTCCAAAAGCTCTTCCCGCCCTCTTACACAGAAACGATAAAGCACTCGTAGACTGAATCGAACCTCCCATATCATGGCCATCAACAACCATCTACCTTTCATCACTCAACGATTCCCATCTCTCAACACCAAAATCCACAATACTACCACTGTGTATATTTGTGCTTGATTTGGCTCGTGATGCAACATAACGAGATACATGGGAGTCAGAGACTTCTATCATGTCGGATTTAGGTGATTGTGTACATAAGGCCTGATATGCAAATTTTATCTGCGAAATTGGATTGGTCTGATGCGAAGTGGACGCGTAGTTTGACACGCATTCAATGGTTGCCCGTTCAAACAATAGGGTTCTGTAATCCCATGCCGTTCACTACCGAGCAAAAAGGTACCCTGCTCAAGTTTGAGTAAGCCTCATGAAACTCATTTGGCTTTCTTAATCCTGAAAACACCATATACTCCAAACCGTTCCTTGGTTCTCGTTTGATTGAAATATGTTTCTTGGCTGAATGGAGAAAACATGATGGTCCGAGATAGCTATTCTCGGATTGAGGATCGGTTGAGCATGGATTATATGAGGTATAAGGTGGGGACGTGATGGTGTATTTGTTGGCGTGGGTCTCGTAGGAGAGTTCGTGGAAGGTATCAGCGCACATAAATTGATTACTATAATATAGACGGGAGACTAGTTTAGATCTGCAACGACAAAAATGCACAACCACGTCATTACTGGCGACACGCCCTCGGCACTCACATTACAGCCTCGATATAGACACAAGCTACTTGGTGATTCCTCGTTGAAATCCTCGTAACGTGCGTTCATGCTGCACTTTTCACCACTTTGCATCTCTTCGAGTCAACATGGAAATGCTTGATCTTGTCGAGCACACAATCATGAAAATGTTGCTGGGGAAAAAAGATAACGAGAATGGCAATACCTGAGCCCTCATCATTCAAGTTCATGTTGTCTTGACAAGACCAAATTGGTCCACCACTGCGTACTTCTCCTCTAAATGACGAGTACGTTCTCCTTCGTGGCCAATCATATGCGATATGTGTGTCGCAAGGAGAAACAACAGTCAAAGTTGGATATTAGAGTCGATTGGCAGCGACGTTTCACAGGGATCTAACAATCTTATGTTCTGTCAAAGAATGGCCATGCCAGTTTCAAAAGCTTCGCAATTTGAAATGGCTTAACCTGTAGTTTGTTCTGCACGATGAGAAGAAAAAATCGTGCCATCGTTTTGATAGAAGTGCTCAACGAGAGCAAGTTTCAAGGCTTGTTTGCCAAAATTTCGTTGAGCGTAAGTGGGTGACCAGGAAACGAGGGCCTTTTGATGCTCTTGTATCTTGGTTGCTGAGAACCCGGAGACCATCCACTACATCAACGCTTCGAATGGCTCTACAAGAGCATTAGTCAGGTTCGTGTTCCATTTTTTGTCGATAAATCCACATCATTCCTTTCGATGTAACAGAGAGTTGAGCGATAAGGTATTGTCACCAACGTCAAAGTAATAGTTGGCATCTTTCATAGCTGCAAGGCGTTATCCTCTGAAGACACGTTCCGGTCCAAACCACAAACATTCGGGTACGTTCATCAACGAGTGGAACGACGGAGGTGACTATTAGTCCGTAGACTATGTGTGAGGATGGTTGCCGCAGTTGATAAGACAGATGTGGTGATGACACTCATAGGATGGCTGACTAGGTGCCAACGTAAGTGTCCAATGCGACAGATGCCTTGTCCGTCGCACGATCGAATATGATGAAAATGGCGAGTCTGTTGCAAATGTCACCAATTTGGGCGAGATGCGCAGATCCTGGTGGCAGAATCTGGAGAAGTAGTCCAAGAGTCAGTAAGTATCTTCTGAGTCGAAATATCCCCAAACCCTTGAACTCGGTGTGAGAGAGGGATGCATGTTTAATTGATTGAGGGGAACCAGCAAGGAACGAAAGCCAAGTTGATTTCATTGGATGCAAGTGATTGTATTGGGGTTTATATATTACTTGAAATATTTATATGTGGTTTAAGATCGTTCACC